ATGAATACCTCAAAATGTCACTGTTATGTTAAAAATACTACTGGTAACACGACTGGCATTTTCAATAAGAAACTGGACTTGAGGCTAACGTGGAAGTGCATGAACTCTTATTTACTATTCTGATAGCTTTTAAATTTTATGAAAATCGGACACTTAGTTTTCGTATTAACCATATTCACTAATTGTTCAAAATTTGTTCGACACTCGGTGCTTATTTTCGTAGGCAGACTATGGTGAAAGCAACTACGTATCTTTGCCTTCCTTTTAAACTAATAGAACAGGGAGTCTAGGCGGCTGGCAGAAGAAAGAAATCTCAGCATGAAATAAAACGTGTTCGAATGAACAATGAGGGGAAATGTATTTTCGTGTAGGTAATTTTTTGGTTCATTCATGAGTCTGGATTCACTTCAAGCGGCACAAAGACACCGCAGGATGTCTCCACTGAATGCGAATCGATGTCTCAGTTTTTTTAACGTTTCCGTTTCCTGTCCTGCGCCGCAACGAATGCGATTTAATTTTCATTGTCCTTTGCCAATCAATACAAAAGTCATTTGAAAAGTAACCAACTCAGTGTGAGAGCTGGCTAAGTAGTAAACACTCAACAGTGAAGTGTTCGACTTGCAACCAGGTGTCCAGGTGTTCACTTGACTCAAGCCTTAGGTAGAAATCAAAGAGTGTTGAACAACAGAGCTGGTAGGACTCAATTAGATAAGCGTCTGTAATCTCCCCATTATTGATAAATTGTGGTTAAGTATTTTAGTTATTAAACATAAAAGTTAAATACAAATATCAATAAAATGTTTAATAATTAAAAAATTAAATGTTAAGCTAATTTAAGAACAGTGTTCAAAAACTTTGGTAAAATAGGTAAAATAAGCAAAAACACAAAACTCAATTACAAAATCCTTTCCTAAATTTTACTTCTACTATTCAAAACATAAAAAACTTTTTACTAATAAATATATAAAAAAATATGAAAAACAACAATACTCGAGTCAAAGCCCCAGATTAAATAGAAATAGAAAACCTATGCATAAATTATAATATAATACAGAAGTAATTATCTGTAGAAACAGTTGTTAATTTGTTTCTTGTACTCTGTCATCAAAATGACAAAACGTCTTTCCCTCTTTAGACAAATATTTTTGATGGGCGTTTTCAGCCTTATGGCCAAGCAATATAAAAATGATAAATGTGTTGGCATGTACGGTTTTTTTGGGTTTTAGGCTTTTAATGGATTGTCGTGCGCCTTAAATATAAATATCACTCTTTAATATAAGCATGTGTTTATTTTTGTACATTTTCATGTTTGATTACGTGACACATTTACTGATTGCGGCTCGTAAAAAATTACCCATCCGACAAACCTGACAGAATACGGAGTTAGACGCTTATGTATTTGTTTGTTGATGGACTCTTAAAGGGATAAGTATATAAAACGAGAACAATAATAAAGTGCAAATGCGGGAGGAAATGGAGAAAAATAAAAAAAATCGAACTCTATAGTCGAGTATCCGAGATACACGTTATTCAACACCTCATCGTGCTACTGGCAACCAAAGGAATTGTTCTCTACTTATTTTAAATGGTGAGATTTATGAATTTGTCCATCCAAATTGAACTACAAAAAATAGTCACAAGACACCAGCACATAAATATTGGGCGATTAACAAGGCCACATCATTTAGGAATAGTAAAATTAGTAAAGAACTAGTTGGAATTTATAGAGACCAATTGTAAAAATATCAAAATGCAATCAATTTTAATAGATAAGTAAAAACACAACTAAAAAAATTCAGAATAGAAAAGAAGATACTTAAAAGAAAATTGTTTTCATAAGTATTTGCATTATTAATTCGATTCATGAAACAAGAAAGGAAAGCTAACTTCGGGCGGAGCCGAAGTTGAAATACCCTTGCAGAATATTCTCCAAAATTATTCATATGATGCATTCTTAATACTCATAAAAAATCCCAACTTCCTAACTTTAAAAACACCAAAGTTATGGCATTTCCGATCAATCAGTTATATGGCAGCTATAAGATATAGTCGGCCGATCCTTATGAAATTTGGTGGGTCGGATTAATTGGCCAAATATAAAACCCATACAAAATCCTAACTTCCTAACTTTACAAACACCAAAAGTTATGGCATTTCCGATCAATCAGTTATATAGCAGCTATAGGATATAGTCGGCCGATTCTTATGAAATTTGGTACGTCGGATTGATTGGCCAAATATAAAACCCATAGAAGGTCCCAACTTCCTAACTTAACAAACAGCAGAGTTATGGCATTTCCGATCAATCAGTTATATGGCAGCTATAGGATATAGTCGGCCGATCCCGGCCGTTCCGACTTATATACTGCGTGCAAAGGAAAGAAGGGTGTGTGCAAAGTTTGAATTCGATATCTTTAAAACTGAGAGACTAGTTCGCGTAGAAACAGACAGACGGACAGACAGACGGACAGACAGACGGACAGACAGACGGACAGACAGACGGACAGACAGACGGACAGACAGACGGACAGACAGACGGACAGACAGACGGACAGACGGACATGGCTATATCAACTCAGGAGGTGATCCTGATCAAGAATATATATACTTTATAGGGTCGGAGATGTCTCCTTCACTGCGTTGCACACTTTTGACCAAAATTATAATATCCTCTGCAAGGCTATAAATATGGCTGTGGTAGATGGCCACATACAATGTTGGTATACTGCTTGCGACGACGTCACTGATTATGCTTGACTTTAATTTTTAAAACTTCTACAAAAATTGTATAATTAAAAAAAAAATATTGGTGTATCTGTAAATATATAATAAATAAACATGTAACTGGGGTCTTCTATGTTACTACAGAGTTTCGCGATATGTGGGCGTTAGGGTGGACGGGGTCAAAGAGTGCGCTAGTAAACCTTATCTTAAATATATATATTTTTTAACCATGTTGCTTACTTTATGACTAACGGGTTATAAAAATCCATATTTGCTTTGATGAAACCTCTTGTTTTTAAATTTCACTATTTGCATAATACCATCGATTTAAGAAACAAATTCGAGAACAACCAATGTATAACCTTTTCAACAGAAGGCAATAACAATACAAAAATTTACCTACGAAATACCAGATCATATTTAACAAACAGGTCGTGGACCCAAGCTGTGAGGAAAGCAGACGATCCTCAACCCGAAAGCATAAATCTGTCAAACGAAACGCTTTTGAGCAGGTACAACGCAGTTTTATTTCCCTTTTAAGAATATGTACACTTTCACAACACTTTCTCCCTCAACTGAATTCCAGTTAAAGTAACATATCTTTTTATTGCGTATATTACAGCACACGAACGAATCACCAAGAAGGCTACAGGTAGCTAAAATGGGTCAATATAAAAGTAAAAGACTCCTGCCGACCAAGTAGACTAATTATGTCAAAAAGGCGCCATCGCATAATTTATTGCAGATCTCATAATTAAGAAAGTATATGTACACGATTATTTATGACCTACAGTTTAACGACACAGGTTCACTGAAAATTCGCCGCTCTAAAATTAAGTACAAACGTACTTGATTTCGTACCAAAATCAGAAAAAAATGGGTTTTAAAAGTAGATGTCGTACTTAAGTTTTTTTTTACAAAAATGCTATAAAAGAAAGAAGATTCTGTGGAAATGTTCCATAAATAGTAAGAATTTTATAATCAAAAATCAATTTTTCAAAAATAATAATAAAGGAAGAACGACAATTGAGCGAAAACCATTTGAATTTTATTTAAAGTATATCTGCACTTTTTAAGTGTTGTTGCTAAAAATTTGAATCAAAAAATGTTCTTAGTATTATGGATATTTAATCTACTTTTGTAAAAATATTCATTATAACATATCTGTATGTAAAATAACAATATTAATAAAAATAAAATATTAATATACATACGTTCGTATTATTTTTGTAACTGTACTAAGTAAGTATAAAGCACGAAATACTTTAATCAATCACCAAAAAAACATACATCTTAACTTTGAAAGTACTGTTTAGAATTATCCACATAATACTTCCCCGCGTATTGAATTCCTACATTTTAATCGATCCTAAATAAATCGATTTGTTATACCATTGTAGAGATTTTTATAATTTTGGTCGGAAGCTTGAATGCTTCTTGATCACCATTTCTAGTGGCCCTTCCGTCTGGCTAATTATAAACTGTTAACGAGTTCATCTTAAAAGCTTGACCCTTGAAAGTTTTTCCAAAGTCCTTTTTAATTGAAAATTGCTCAGATCGGAAGTCTATTTTCTATAGCCGTCATAGGAGCGATCGGGTAATTTATGTAAAATTAGCTGCTTTATTATTATTTAATAATCGTCTTACCGAGGAGAAGTTACAATTTTACACTTGTGAGTATAAAAAAAATAGTTTTGTTTTTATGTTTATTTAAGAAGTTTATTAAGAAATTTGAATACTCAATTCATTCAACAATGGTTTCGTTTGTATTTTTAATTTTTTTCGGTGGGGTAAACAAAGTATATCAGTATACAAGGATAAGAAAGTCTGTCTTTGGCTTGTTTTCAAGATAAACGTAAAGCATCGTCATTTTATAATAACGCATTAACTTAATATTATATCATACATTATATACTACTTATATTTTAACAGTAGATTCCTAAACGAGTATATGGACAAACAAGCAGTTTTACTTATACCAGTAACGGTATATTATAAATATATAGTAATACCCTTACTTACTCTTTTTTTTTAAATTTATATCCCTCTACCCGCTATCAAGATTTCCCCCTAAATACAAAGAAAATTATAGTTCAAATAAAAGTAATACACATTTTTTATAAATCATTTCATTTTCAAAATGTTTCTACGCAGTTTTTTTTTATCTAAATTGTTCTTAGTTTTCTCTGTGTAGTCGGTTAGACCATATCTGGTTGACATTGGACTCAGATAATAGGTAATAAGTCTATAACAAGCGCTGTGAACATGTATTACTATTGTTTTCCTTTTAAGGGGCCTTTCGTTAAATTTTTATTGTTTTATTGTTATTGTTTCCTTGACCATAGTGTATACAAAATACCTCCTTGCTAATATATTTTAATATTGAAATGCCAGAGACTGTATTTTTACGAGATGATCAGTTGATTGCGTATATTCTGTTGCTCCATCGGACTCAAGAAATCCGATTTAAAATCTGCCGTCCGGCTGTGAATCAATCGTCCAGTGGAATCGTTCACATTGTCCTGAATTTTGTAGTCGTAAACCGTTCTCATATATCCGCCCACCATTTTGTTAGACTTCGATCTTGAACTGGATTGAATGCTTATGAATGGAGCGGCTTCTGTGAATCGCCAGAGGCAAATGTATGCTGCGGTATAAAAAAGGAAATACGAATCTCATAGAACCTCGGGCAACACTAGAAACTTACAAAAAATGCAAATCAACACGATGTAGTTCATTGTTCGGAGTTATTCTTTAGACTGAAAAGAGCTTATAAGGGAGCTGAGCTGTAAAAATCTGATTTATTCTGGCTAATTTGATCAAGAAAGCGCGCAATTTGAAGGTTTTACTATGACTCAATGCTATCGGAATTTTCTATTTTGTTGTTTATTGACTAAGAACCCAGGAATCGCACCTATTATAGCCAAGGAAGAGTGGGAAAGATTCGGTCAGAAGGCCTCAAGGTCGTGGTTGTCTCAACGACAAGCACAGAGATTTTGTCTATTTCCTCCTTGATCTTCCGCCGCAGCTCTCTTAGGAGTTTTAGGAACCTGTTCCTATGGTTGTAGTTGACGATGGGCTCCCGCTCCTCCTTCACCAACCTATTTGCCTCGATATTGGCCAGCCGGAATAACTCCTTGCCAGAAAGCTTTCCTTGACACTTCTTCACCTGCTTTCGCACATTTTCCAGCTGCACATGTGTCTCCAGCAGCTTGCGGTTCACATCATTCATCTTTGCGACCATATCAAGGCTTTGCTCCTGAGTTTTTAGAACTTGAGACTTTCTGGCATGTAATTCCTTGAATAAATACGAGGACTGGTTCCGAAAATCCAGCGTCTTGGCCTGCTCCTCCAACAACCTTTGTTGGAGCGCCTTGACTGTCGCGGTATTAGACTCCGGAAATCGCCCCGATATTGAGGCTTCATGGATCGGATCCCCTTCGGTATGCCTTTTATCTGTTATTATAAGTATGAAGTCCTGTTTCGCTGTGTTGTTAAGGGGAGGATCACTTTTGGGGGGAACACCCTGTGCCAAATCGTCCGCCTTGGCTGTAATATCCTGTAGTGAATCGCTTTTATGCAAGCTTGTGGTTTTATCTGTCACGGGAAAATCGCCCTTGGGTGCATCGCTCTTGGAAGAATCCCTTTGCGGCGCGTCACTCTTGGGTAAAACATTCTGGGGCACAGAGTTGCCTTTTGAAGAATCACTCTGGGTCAAATCACTTTTCGGAAAATCGATTTTCGGTTGATCGGGTTCGATTGCAGTAGCGCTGTGGGCCACGTTAACCAACAAAACTAACCAAAAAATAATCACTTTTAGATATGTTCAATCGATAGCATAAGCGTACTTGCGTAAGACTGCAGGGCTTAACAATGGGACCCTCATCTCGAAGAAACAGCTGTACTTAAAGTTTGCAGGGCAGTAAGGTAGGCTCTTTCTTATATAGAAGATTCCCTGGTTACATAAGGTCAGTTGTAACGGGCGGTGTTTCGTTCTGCTTGACTTTTAATAAACTGAACTTCATAAGTTTACCAAACGTTCCCTTCTAAAAAGCAACATACATAGCGTCACATTTCATTTTTATTTTTACATAGCGTCACATTTCATTTTTATTAATTTTTAAAGAAAATTACCTAAGAAAGTAATTCATTGACTGCCTTAGCATGAAATTAATTGAAGTCTGCAGACAGAGGACTTTTAGGCATTCCGGTGCTTAACTCAATTCTGGGTAACCCCATGCCGGCACGCGTTTCTTGAACTACCTGCTCCTCCAAAGCTTTCAAGAGCCTAAGATATTTGGTTAGAAAATGCTTCTTTGCTTTTGGATGGAATTCTTCGGCCCTTTTGTCGGCCAGCCTGTCGGCAATTCGCCGTACCTTCTCATCCCGGAATTGGATGTTTCGGCAGCGCTCCATCAAGAGCCAACTGTAATCGATTTTAATTTTCTTTTGGGACAATATTTGATTGGCCTTCATCACAGCGTTATTCGTCGTATTAAACTTTTGCATGGCTCTGACTGCACTTCGGTTGATATAGTCCAAAAAATCCCTACGCTTCTTGACTTTCGACATCAAATCTGAGTTAATGATCAACTGAGCGTTCAATTCAAGCTGGACTTGATTCAATAGCTCTTGGTTGAATGTATCCCCCTTTAGAGATTCTTTTGACTCCGATTCTTGAGTCACATAGTCGGGATTAGCAGGCAATGCCATAAATTGGGCTTCTATCTTGGTCACTGGGCAGCAAGCAACTAAATTTAAATATTTAAAGGCAATTTATGTTTTTAAAATATCTTAAAATAAGACTTACGAACTGCAATCAACCATACAAAGAAACCTCCCATTTTCAAGTATTTAAGTACCTTATTTTATATACCATTATATATGGGCTTCAAGTCAGCTGAGTACTAACTTCGCGGAAAATCATTTCGATATGGCTTTTATGCAACAATAAGCTAGTCGGCTTTATTTTCTAGTTAAAAGATAAAAATAGTTTCATACATAATATATACCTTATAAAAATTTCTTATAATCTGATGATGCAGGCAAGGCAGATTCCCAAGATTAACTAAATTAAAAATGCAAGCATATATCTGAACAAGGCTGCGCTGTCTGCACCCAAAAGTGAAACTGCAACTTGGCAATTCAAAAATTTCCAACATCCGCAATGCGAGTAGAATGGGAAAAGATCAAACTACAAATTTCGCCGACTTGAATATTTAAATTGAATCTTGCGCCTGCGCACGAGTCAAATTGAAAATTGGACGTGGGATTCATAAAACTAAGGCATGGCCAACTCGTGGGCGAGTGGTCACTCCGTGGATCGGATCCCCGTTTGGGTGGGTGTCCCCTGCTAATTGTTGAAAACACAGCGATTTATGCGCAAGTTGCTCGCATTTTGCGTGGTGTCTGCGGCACGCTGCTTAAATTGCCGCGGCTCCTCATATGGGCAAAAGTCGTTACTGCCTTGTGATCTAAGCCAACTTTGGCGTAATAGTGTGTTGGAATTCCCCTTAAAAGGAAATCGGAACACCATTATCAATATAATGCGCATTTAAATTTCAATTAAGGGTCAACCAAGCCAGCTTCTCATTAATGAGGATTTTGAATAGCCCCTTTTGTAATCATAGTGGGAAAAGGTGGTAACAATTGGTTCGAATTGGTTATACTTTAAGATACATGCGCATTTGAATATCTTGATTGATTACAGGCTTAAGAAAATAGTTCAACGTTTAGCAAAATCAGATAACTGTATCATACTGATTCATTAGTAAAGATGTTCTTCTGCCTGGTCGTGTAATTGGAGATCTCCAAAACTATAAAGCTAGGTATTGAAAAGAGGACGTTTTTTTTATCTTCGGCAAGAGAAAACTTCTAAACTCTGAGGAACTCACATTTTTAATGATAAAACTCGTTTTTTGGTATTAAATCATGGATTGAAAATTTCAACTTTACAGTTTTCAATTTGTTTTTGAAATATCATTCAAAAGTTTCCCTGAAGAACATAGCGGTTGACTATATCCATTAACTGTCGTAGAAACGATCTGGGCAAAGAAATTAAAATTTTTAAACTAATAATTGTTTAATATAACTAGAAGATATGTAAACTTTTTTTAAGCCAATGTTACTTATGTTAAATATTTCATTGAATTAACGCAATTTGGTTCCTTTCCTCGAACATACCTTTGGAGTTATTGATCAAAGCGTAGACAATGGTTGGATATCTTATCTATCTTAGATTGGATACTTTGTTTGCCTTTTCGCTGTTCCTAGAGCGCCATTCCCACACAAAGATAATGCCTTATTTCTCATTTTGATAGCTATGTTATGATGACGAACAGTCTGAGACTCTCATTTGAAGATGGCTTTTCACTGAATTGTTGGTCTCAATTTCCCATGCTGCAGCGTTCCCACTCGCAGCGGATTTTCGACGCTTTTCAGCTGGAGTTCGGATCCATCACACGCTTTCGATTGCGTTTGGAAAACGACCTACTTCCGGATTAGCATGCCAGCCACTTTTACTGTCGTTCCATATGGAAAAGGGCGCCGGGGAGAACCACTGATGGGCATGGGCAGTGACCAGGGACAGGGGCTAATGATGTCGCTACGTATCCACTTGATAATAAACATCCGCCGCGTTCCGCAGTGAATAAGTGTGTTGCATGTTTGTTGCATTTAATTGTAATTTATTTTCCACTCCATAGAATGAAAAAGGCAAAGAACGGAAGCAAATATTTTCCGGTGGAAGCTGGCCAACCAAAGGGGAAGTCCCTTTCCTATACCGCTTTGCTTTTCCATCTCTCTGTGATACATTAATTGATTGCACGTAAACTCAAATGTTATGCTGTACCATACCTGTTTTAACCCTTTCTCATCGAACCTTCTTAAATAGCAGTCCCAAAGAACTCTAAAGTTAGTATATTCTCGCTGATTGCAATGTCAAACAAAAGGCGTTCAAAGTATAAAGTCAAAAGTACTCTTGACCAGCGACGTTATTCGAGCTAACAAACGTGTTCGCATGGGTAAGTAAAGGGTTAATCGGATCGAATGCCTGCAATGCCTTCCAATGACATCGATTTTGTCGGCTTTTTCTTAAAGAGATAAATGCCAGGCGGCCTGTCATTGTAGTTCGATTGGACTGAGCCGTAAGTCAGCAATCAATGGACCAAAGGAACGCCAGCCTGAAACTGAATTGCTCGCTAATTTTACGAAAGAAACGCGAAAAATGTGCAAAGTACGCAGTGCACTGCGGCCAACAAGAGGAAGCTGCGACTTCCTATCAAAAAGCCGACAAAAACACCTGAGCCTTGCGCATCAATCAGCCCCACCGATGAAACTGTTCGCCAGCAGCGGACCACTCTTCACACTAAGGCTGGCATAATTGTCCCGCATCAGAAACAGTCAGGTTAATTAGCCCCGATTCGAGGGAATCCTCACCCTCAAGCGGCCAGAAATCAAAGCGGAAATTGTTTATTAAACAAATCCACAGGCAGTTCTGATTGGGCAGCCTCCATGGTGTGGATAATGGACTTTTAATTGACTTCTGGCATTTTCGGCAGCCTGCGTGCAAAGGTCTATTATAGGTGGAATTGGGAGTCATATGACATAATAACCGGGTTGTCATAGCTCAGGAAGCCTAACAAGCCACCAGCCTGAAATTAAACAAAGGCATCAAACTTAGGCAACCTGGTATTGATAAAGACTTCAATGAACTATGTCGTAAGAGAAGTTTGAAAGATAGTGACAGGTAACGACAGTCTTCGACAGACTTCGAAAGTGGATCATTTGCATTTGTCAATATGGTTGACACACTTTATAATAATCTCTACCACAATTGAGCAGCAATGCTCAAGTCAGCATTCCATTATAAACGAAGTCGTTACCATTCACTTTATTTTACAAAAATTACTGGGCATTCAATTATTTTTGAGAAACATATGGTGCAAGTCTATATTGTTTGATCCAAAATATATTGAACTACAGTCTTTTCTTGATATAAAATTATTAGATCAGCTTTTTAACAAAGTCCCCAAAACGCCAATGAATTTGAATGTAACGGTTGTCCACTTTCATTAAACTAACGAGATACTTTTTAAACTAAAATATCGTACATAATCTGCATTTTAATTCGCAACACTCAATGAAATTTGGTTTGTCTTTCGATACTTGTTGCCGATAAACGGAAAATAAAACACACTTAGAAGTGGGAGTTACGTTATCACCATCGAATAGACGAGGTCGTTATGTGGGCGAATGCTTAGTCAGAAGCTTCTCTATCTTAGCTTCTCTATCATCTTTAATTGATGAAGAAGGTGAAATATTAAGCAACTGGCCAAAAACCGTTTAGCCTCTGGTAATATGGTAGCTAAATTTTAGCGTAAAAGATAAGTTGCAATCGGTCGAGTTATGAACAATTAAATACGATTTTTGGTGTCCCTCCTAGCTTTCAACTTTCCTTTTCGAATGCAGCACTAATTCGGCTAATCATCATCAGCAGCACCCACTATCATTACATCACCTTGCATAGATCAAGCCATGAAACCAACTTCCGCTCGACACGCAATTGGAAATAATCGCGAGGAGGGAAAGTTATCAACATCACATTACCATTGGCCCCGGCAACAACAATAAGCCATCTCCTCAATGAGAGTGAGTCTGGGTAATTCCAAACGCCAAAACAATGACACATAAATCGCTGAAAAAATCAAGCATAACATCAGCATCAACTGTTTCACATCTCTCTAGACGACTACACCCACTGCCATACTCGTAGCAATACTGAAATCTGTGGGATAAAGTGCGCTGGTGGCATGTGGAAAGTTGCAATTTAGCTGGCCGATAGAAAGCAAGGCGGCAACAAGTCGCTCGTATTATTCAGTTACTCACAATCGCGCTGGTAATGTGAGAAAAAAGCGAAAATGTGCAACGTTGACACAATTGTGACTGCACGAGGCGGTGCATCCATGAGATAGTTGAGCAGTTGCCAAGCGATTGTCTAGCTCGGCGGCTGCAGTGCCACAATGGGCCCAGATGATGCCCCTATGACGAAGTGGCAACTTGCCTGAACACCATTCGATACTGCTCTGAAATTCAAATCGTTTCGGCTGACATATGCATTCACTTGAGTACATTTATTGAGGCAGCTGCTAGGGCTTTTAAAAAGAGATGCAAAGGACCCTTTCCTCCGACTCTTTGGATTTTTTGCTCCTACACATACTTTGTATATAGGTATACATAGCAATTTTTACTTCCCATTTAGAACACCGAAAATTACACGTTTTTGTGTATTTATTAACTATTTAGCCATTATTTTATATTAAAGAAAACTCTTCGAACTGCTTACACTCTGTCGATTGGATTAATTATATTATTTGTTATTATTAAATAAATTTCTTCATAAATAGTACTGATGTAGTAAAAATTCCTAACTTTTTCAGTGCAATTACTTCAATAAAAGAGCATTTTAAAAACGAGAAGTTGAGATCTTTTAGATAAAGTTGTGCACAAGGAGGCTCAGTAACAAGTTAGTTAACTTAGTTAATTTCTTTATAGATCTGATGTAGGTCAGTGCCTCTTGTTGTACGATCATCCACTTCGTGCCATTTATGGCATGTGGACCGGCAGATGGCTTACGAGTTAAGGCGTATAAAAATCATCTCTTGTCTTTATGGGTCCAACTATAGACATCCGCCCGCGCATGAGACGGTGACATAAGCTCCCGTTTTTTCATTCGGCCAACATAACAATAATAAAGCCAAACCCCCTTGCAGTTTTGGTGGATGGTCTCGATGCCAAGCCAATACTTTGGCTAATTAATGGGAAGTTCGACAGGTTGGCGCGTG